AGACTCGATGGTTTGATGACATTTAACGTTGAAGAGGACGGAACAGGCCTTCAGGCCTAATGCTTAATGTTGAAGAAGAAGTTGTTTGGTTATTTATATATATTAAGCATACATTATTTTCTCCATTTTTATCATTTTATTCAATTGTTAGTTTGTATGTTATTCCATTTATGAATATTTGTTGTCCATACGTATGTACAGGCTATTCCATATACATCCTAGTTCTGGTAATGCGTAATACAGATATAATTCAGAGAACATACAGTGAGAAAATCTAGGTGAGGTAATCTAGAATGTGTCTCTAGGCTATGTGTGGCAACATTTCGGACAACAAACTTTTAACACTTTTATGTTATACTTTTACACTTTTAACTAACTAAAACACTTTAAACAATTGTCTCCGAAAATCATTTTTACCAGAAATATCATTTTTAATAGGGTAATATGATTTTATTACACTTCGTGATACACAAATTTTGAGTCGCAGTAGTTTAAAAAGATTTTTAGACTTTAAATTTATTTGAAAAGGGTTATTTGTTATAGTAACATATTAATAAAGTATTTTTCACTGCATTATTTATTAACATACACTTATTAATATGTTGCCATTTTATAGCAAATAATTATTTTAAAAAATATTAAAATATAACAATAAATTTAAAACTGGAGATGTAGGTAAATAATTATTCTCGGATCATTAGTAATTTTGAAAACGTCTGATACTTCGACGAAAATGATTTTTTATGCTAGGGCTTTTTCCAGCCGACAGTGCTTACCCATACGTCCCCGCAGGACGTATATTACGCCATACACTAAACACGAACACACTTTGTGAACACCTCTGAACTGGAGTCAGCAGAACGCGAGGCCTTCCGCGAGGCAAGGAACCAACAACCATACCCCAGGCGGAACTCGAACCCTCGACCCTACGAACGCTGAGTCGGTACACGTTCTTAGATGCCTCGGCCATCCAAGTCGACACTACATATTATTTAAAGAACTAATTTTCTATAACAAATTTCATTAAAGAAAAAAAATATCTTTAATTTGGTTGTTATGTAAAGTAAACAAGAAAAACAAGATTTTCTGGCAAGTTGAAAAACATAATTTTCTAAAAAACCGACAATCTTTTTATTTTCTCCACTTACTTTGTAAGAAGATATATTTGCAGCGGAAAGCCGCGATTTTTCGACAGACACTTATTGTAGGCAGGGGCAAATTAACAGTGACGGGAGCTTCCGGGCACAAATTTTGTGGAGATCTCTTTGATGGGAGAACGTCGGGCTAGAGATCAAAAAAGCGTTTAAACCATTTGTATAAGTTTTTTTTATTTTGTTTATTTATTTTAAGCCTATAAGGTCGCTTGAAGGCTAAAGCATCCCGCAGAAGCGGGAATGTGATTTGGCACAACTATAGTTTCATAACATAGTATGCTTACGTAACAGAGCATTGCAACTTATAGATCTTAAATAGCAGCATACAATATATATTAACTTAGTGTTCTGGTTTACCTAAAATATCAAAATGTTTGCACATTGTTGTTAAGTTTTTTCCAAACTTGTCTGTCGTTTGCTACTTGAGACCACTTTACCCTTGCTTCTTTTTGAACACATTAGGCTATCTCTTCTATTTTCGTCCTTGTTTGCACCAGCTGTAGATAAACGTAGCACGATGTGACCATCTGGTAGGATCTCTTCGGAAAACATGTCCGAAACATTTGCGTTCATGGACACTATCTCCAATGTCTTGTATTTGTTTCTGATTTCTTTGCATCTAATTTTATCTCTTAGTATTATATGAGAAATTTTCCTCTCCATGTATCTCTGGCATATTAGCATGGACTGCTGTGCCTTTGTAAGAGGCAACACTTGAGAACCATATATTAACACTGGTGTGATGCAGGATTGTATAATGGATTTTGTGATTGTTATGCTGACTTTTCGGTCTAATACTGTAAAGGAGAGACTCCAGAACATTTTACAACCAAAGGATATTTTACTTTTTGTTTCTTTTTCGTTTCTTCCTTCAAAAGATATTAATTTTCTCAAATATAGATATTCATGAATGTATTAAATATTTGATTGGCTACAAGTACAGGCATTCGTTGGTCGTTCGTAATAATTTTTTATTTTGATAGGTTTATTTTAAGGCCAAAATTAGAACTTTTATCAACTCTCTTAACATCTCGCATATCGCATGGAAAGAGGTAACAAAAATAACTACACCTGCAAATCACAAATTTGTCAATCTCTGTCCGTCAATTTTTATTCCCGACTTTTTAGACCATGTTAGCTGTCTTCAATATATCTCTTCAATATATTGTCTTATCTCAAATGCCTTCCCTTCGTGGCCAGTTCTTACTTACTTACTTACTTTTGCAGTACTGTTTGAATATATTCTCTGTAAAGTTCTAATGAAATTTTTTGGCACACCTTGTTTATCAAGTGAATTGAATGGCGATGAATATTCTACACAATGAAATGTCTTTATGAAATCGACAAAGGCTATTAAACATTGAGATTTTTAAACATTGCTCAAAATATTCGTATTCATTTTAGATTGTATTTGTGTCAGGAATATGAGAGTCTAAAGCGTTCTTTCTTATCATGTTGTTCAATTCGGTACTCAGTACTTGTTTGAATTTTACAGTATCTCTTTCATAGATTACTATTTCTTTCCTTTTTTGAAACCATCTCTTTCTTCCTTCTAGTCGTACCTCTAATCAAACAATCCTATGATCATTAGAGAAATTTATATTTTCTATGCCTGTCATCACAATACTCTCTATTTTGTCTGTGAGTATAAAGTCAATTTCGTTCTTTGTGTTCCTGTCTGGGGAGTGATAAGTCCATTTATCATCCTTCCTTCATCTAGAAAAGGAGTTTGCAATTTTTTACCTTTGACCCGCAGCGAATTGAATTCACCATATTCCTGTTTTGTTCCATTTACCATATCCATAACGTCTTTTTACCTCTTTCTTCGTTAATTTCTCTCAATAAAATCTCCGATAGCAAAGTTTTGTTGTGTTTTACATTGATTAGATGTGTCATTTAGTAAATTGTAGAAATATAATTCTTCTTCCGTGCATGTGATTGTTGCTGCATTCGCAATTATTGTCATCATTTTGCATGTCCCCATTGTCAGTTTCAGAACGGCAATTCTTTCAGAGTTGCAGAGAAACAGTTTTGTTTCCTCAATCTATTCTTCTAGTTCCGAATGCTCGAGACTAGCCAAGAAATCAAAAGGCGTAGAGACCAATTAATTTGCTGAAACCCGTGCATCAAAGATGCTATAAACTAATCAATGATGGGGAGATAATTTTCGATCGAAAAACGTCGAGAGGGTGACTGGAAATCACCAACTATGAAGCCCCCCATTTTTCCTTTCTTGACTGTTCGTACTGTGAACAATTGAAATGCTCCTTCTTGATGAAATACTTTAGTGGTCTAAGAGCTGCAAAACCAGTATTCAAATCGAGCTTGGAATTCTGAAGGCGTTTATTTGTGATAAGATTGATTATTCGATGGAACTCCTTATACTGAAGCCTGCGTGTTTCAAACCGCAATTTTAATTTTAAAGGGTGCAGAACATTAATCTCCAAAAACATTTTCAAAATTTTTTCAAAAATGACTAAAATTGCTTGTAATAAACTTTGTCTGCGGTTATCTTAGAAAACGCTTAAAAAGAACCGGGTTTCATTTTTATTCAGTTCTCTGAATTTTCAAAATTACAAAAGTTAAAAGTTTTGACGGCGACTTTCTACAACTACAAAATTAAAGATACTTTTTAGAATGAAATCTTGTTAAAAAACAAACATTGAAATATATCATGCACTACAATTTATCGAAAATACCAGTACTTTTCCATAAAATATAGAAAATTTTAACATGTAGTTCTTCAAAACTGGCTCCATTAAAAAAAAAAATTCGTCCGTAACTGAGGACGGTAAAAACCTGGTGCTAGTTTCATTTTCGCCGAACTTTTTACAAATTACACAAAATTAACATTGCAGAAGTACAATATCGATGATAGATATTTTTTTAAAATGTCTTCTAAACTAGTAGTGCGTAAAACATTAAATTGATTTAGAAAGTACGCGGAAAATTGTGGTTTAAAAAAATGTACTTTATCTTATTTAAATATTTATTTTTAGAACACACTTTATTTAAGAAATAAATAGTTGTTCATTTGTTTTGATGCAGTATTAATATTTTGCATTTATCGAAAATGGTTACATAATCTTATTTAAAGATCTATTTTACAACATTTTTTTAGTTTAAGTTTTAGTTTTTAGTTTACATTAGTTAAGTTTTTATTTTAAATAGTCGGTAGTATTGTCTTCTTGCAATGTTCATTTTTGTTAGGTTTCAAAACAGATTTGGCCAAAATTGGTTCTGCTCATATTTCAAAATTTTCTCAAAAATTGCTAAAATTGTTTTCAATAAACTTTTTAGCTCCCGTTTAAAAAGAGTCCTAACGTTTAAATAGGCGAGGGTTTCGTTTTCATTCATATATCTGAATTTTTAAAATTATGTTGTTTTATATATACAGAAAGCTACTTATCTATGTAACTGATGTCAGAGCCTGACAAAACTTTTGGGATGAGAAAAATTGCAATATTCCGCAACGGCATTAGAATACTACTTGCCACATCAGTGCATAATATAGGTGAAATAAAAAGTGGCATAAATCTGGGTAAGATATTTGAGGCGACATTTTGAGGTCTGAATATCGCTATTCTTTGTTTCCGGATACCTGAAATACAAAAAAAGCATCTGTGCTGAATTTGAGAGCAATCTGTTCAGCTGTGACTCAATAGTTACTGTGCAGTAGTGGAAATTCAGCAATTCATTTTTATATTATAGGATAATGATCATTTTTTTAAAGTCCCTAAAAAAATAATATAAACACATTATAAAATTTGTCTTATTTACAGGAATTTACTGTGACCTCTATTTCAAGATCGCTCTCCATGCGTTGGACATTTGCTTGAAGATCTCCACGTCGGAATTGTTTGAACACGTGAAGCGTAATATAATGCCTACCTGATTTTAAGATATTTATTCAAAAAAAATTGCTTTTATTGTTGTCAGATTGAAGTATAATTCCTTTGGTTAGTAAATGTACACGAAGATGTTTAGTTCATTCAAAATATAGTTCATTTATTGATAATGATTAGATGCAGCGAGATGTGTTTCTAAAAAAACCAAAAACATGATTTAATAGACCACAGTTTGTGAACGTTCCAACTACTTAATTATGATATTCTGACATTTAAAGGTGTTTTAAAATGAAGGATATGAGGGTCCTAATCAATATTGGTTTCAGTGTTTGATAATTCCAAGAATTTTGATTAAAATAAAATATTCTTAAAATCTTATTTTTTAACTCAAAATAATTATATCTAGAAGCTGCACATATGACATGCAGTTAGGTTAAAAAATTTGCCATACGGTTCAATTAATTACATCCTTGTAACATTCTGCTATAAAATGGATGAAAATATTGATGGAGAGGTTTAAAACCCGGAGCTTTAAAATGATTGTAATTCATCCCATTGTTGTTGTCGTGATGATTGTATGAGGGAGATAATATTCTTATGAAAGGAACTACATTGAGGAAAGGTAATAAATTTATCTTATAACTATTGTAACAGACACACTTCTTTGCCGAAAGAAGTTTTGATCACTGATGATGCTATTCAAAAATTAAAAGCTCACTGCAATGTAATCAAAGCAGGCTTACGTTAAATTATTCCAGCTTTTCTATATTTTGTGTGCAAATAATATAATAGTTAAAATTATTCATTATTGTTTATTTTGTAAAAGTTAGAAATGCCTACTTTTCCTGTCTATCAAAGTAAATGCAGATACGCACCACAGGCGCTTCATATAAATTGACTGAATTTGATTTTTTTTATGTTATAATTGAGTTTTTAGTATGTCAAAAATTACAATATTTCGACATTACGTACCTATATCCGACAATAAGAGAAATTATGTGCTATTATAGCACCAGTAGTTTATTTTAAATTAGCAGTCACCATTGTTTCATGATTATGAGGCTATGGCACCTTAAGTCAATGATGGACGGTTGGATGCTGTAATAAAAGAATTTGCCAAGACTTTTGAAGTCTTTTCACACGATTAACTAGTTCATAAACTGCTATATTTGGGTATTCAAAGGGACCCTTCAAAGGAACCTCTCCTGTTCCTCGTATTCATTAATGACCAACAAGACATTTTTGTTAAAAAATTTCGGTAATTTGCAAATGACTAGCCATTTATTAAGATATATCTGTAATATGTCAAGGTATTATGCGGGGTGACCTACATTAACTACATTTTGGGGCAGAAAAATAGCATAACAATAAATAGAAAATCAAAACCATCGCGTTTGAAATGGGTTGTAATCACAGATGTAATCACATTACCTTACAACTTCAACACTTCCCTTTTCGAAGATAATTTTTAAAGAGGTCACTGAAGAGTTAGAAAGATACAAGTTGTCAAAATATACTAAAAAAAAGTAGTTGAAATAATAGGAGAAAATGTGTGCACTTAGACTGCAATTTTACATTTTTATTCCGCTATAGCCATTGTGTAAACAGGTCCTGCTGACGATGTTTCACTTCTAAGTAGCACCATGGGATTCAAACAATCGATAATAATTATGAGGAATAATTGTTTTATCGCGTGAAAATTGCACTTAGTTGTTTTTGTACATACGTCTCCCTGAGTTACCCGTTTAAATATTTTTGAAGTTTTGTTTGCGATTCGCGTCCAGTGAACCCATTGAGTTTTGCGAGTAAATAAGACGTTTGCCGATGCTTTGCATTAAGAACCCGGCCGCGAATTTTAAATGTGTGTGTTGCGATGGGCGTGAAGACGGTGCTCACACATTTACTGATTCGATTTGACATTTATTCGAAATCATGCTTGAGTGATTCTATCCTTAGTTCAAAAAAAGAAAGACATACAGCGGAAAAACAAGTGTTTTTGCTCTTCAAAATCCAACAGACTTCTATTAAAGAATAAGTTAGCGTTAGAGGTTTCTAACCCAAATAAGCGACGGAAACATCTAGTCATGGTTCACTATCGGGAGACAATATTAGTAGCCACGGCGATGTTACTTTCTTCTGTGTGGGCTGGTACTCCTCCGCAAGATTTAAACAGTAGTCGCTTGTCTTTGCTGCCCATCCTGCCGAAAGACAGCGAAAGGTTTGGAACGAAGAAAAATGTTGTTCATAGTTCGGAAGAAAATATTCGTTTTGCCGTGAGAGCCATCCCTTGCAGCCTACAGACTCATTATTTGATATCAAATGTACAAATAATGCATGTACGGTATTTTTTTTAATTCTAAGATATGTTTGAATCTCTTCTGCTCTAGTATTCTCGAAAGTGCGTAGCCGTTTCCGTTTTATGTACCACTCAATAACACACCACAATCCTTTGGCTTCTAGAAAAAATGTTTGTAGGAATCTAAAATGTCAGAATCTTGGGGAATATACAACTGAGGAGCTGAATGTGTGAATTTGTGTGTGAATGATTATCCGTGCGGAGAGTGCAACAAAAGCTGGTTTGGAATTATAAAGAAATTGCGCCATTCTCTGAATAATATACAAAATATTTTTTGAACGTCTTGGTGAAACTTTTACTTAAAGTTAAAACTTTTTACTTTCATACGTAATGCAAATAAAAACTACAGGTGCTACAGAACAGCACTCGTTTTAGTTTTCTATTTTCTTTGGTCTGCGATAGCTATCCGGATTTGCCACATACTATTGACGGCTACATCGATCGCCAACCAATGTAGGTTTTTATTTTCTTTCTAGATGTAGAGAGAAAGTTACGTAATGATGTGTGAAAAAACGGCACATTTTCGGCAGAAAAACACTTATTACAGGGCACATGTAACGGAAAAATAGATACATCTACTTGATAAATTTAGGGAGAAATTTTCTAACACGCGGTGATGCCAGAATCCATATTTCGTGGGTCGTTGATACCAAAAAATCGATTGACGGCAAAAGGTCAATCTGTCCGACAGTGTGTCTGTGAACAATACTAGCGACAAAACCGGTGAGCCGATTTTCTCCGAAATTGAATCCCTTAGAATTTGAAACCAATATTTTAATTCTAGGGGGTACTTTACATCAAGCACATGGAACATTATAAACATATTTAAAAAATTGCTCCATCTTTTTTGATTAAATTGTATTGTGTGATAGTGTAAAGGACGTGTAATAAAATTGCGCAGGTCTCTGTTAGTTGAAAACACTAAAATTTCAAATTTGAAAAAATTTTCCCAGTATCTTCTTACAATTATAATTATGGAGATAAACATATTCTTTTTACTAATGACATGTGTACATGAAAAATAGATGCAGAAAAAATATCACGTTTAATTTTCCATGAATAATATATTGCAAAATTTCGACAATAATATATTGCAATTTTTTCGCAAATTAAAACAAAATTCGTCTTCCTTTAACTGCTATTGTAAATAAACATTTTTTTGTTAATGAAATGTGTTCATTAGAAACACGTCTTAAAATAAGGTCATGTTTAACTTTTGGAAAATCTGAGCATTTTTTTGTAATTTTGCGACAAACATGGTCGCCCGCTTTAAATTACAGGCAGTTGGATGCTTTATAAGTTAGCTCTATAAATTAGAATCTCTACATTACTCCATTTCTTTATTCGTTTCCTTCGCGGCTCGCTGAGGCAAGATTATAGTGTGCGTTTTTCTTGCAAAGTCCCAGTATATGTGACGTGTGACAATGAGAAAATTCACTTCTCAAGTCGAGAAGACCGGAATACGGCGTGGGGAAGTCTACGTGCTAACCACACATACACCCTTAACCCATTAACTCCCTTAACTCCCAGGTCACCGGAGTCAGGGACTGTGCCGGTAGGACTAAGCCCGTTCACGGGCTGCCGCACCAAGTACATACATACATACATACATATATACAGTCGTTTCTTACATTCGAGCTTTTGTCATCCTTTTCCAAATTCATATTTTAGAAATAATTTTAACATTTATTTGAAATGTATAAAATAAGAATCCCTAGTCCATTGACAATATTAATTAGAATGCAACAATGGTTCAGCAACAATGTCGGCGGAGTTCATTGATGGGAATTACTTCGTATTATTGGAACATAATTTACCTGTCAAAAAAGCAGTTATAAGGATCAAATTTATGCTGATGTTTGGTTGAAAATTTTTTTTTGTTTTTTTCATCAAATGTTCTATGAGTAATGAGTTTTACAAAAACTGATGACTGAGGTGTGTTAATTCGGGGAGAAACTGTGATATAAATAGTATTACATAACTATCACTAAACGTGAGAAAGTGTCTGCTGTTTTAGCACCACTAGTTACAAATGCAATGAATAAAAACGCAGGTACTGATGAGTCGCTATAAGAACTCCACCTGCCTGGAAGTGCCGAGTCACCTGGAGGAGTCCAGCCTGTCCAACGGGTCTCTGGACGTGAGCACGACCCCCGACTGGCGCAGGTCTAGCAGCCCCACGGGCTACCTCTACCCGCACAGGCGTAGCGACATGTGCCTCGTGGTGAAGCGGCGAAGACGTCGGGTTCAGCAGGGCATCCTGCAAGTCTTCAGCTCCGACTCCTGGACAGCCACAGGAGTTGGGCTCGCCGCCTTCGCAGGCGCACTTTGGCTCATTGGCCGCAGGTACGCTACCCATCCTCCTCCTCTCAATCCTACAAAACCTCCATTCTCAATGCTTCGTCGTAAAGTTCACCTCTTCCTTATTAGAATGTCAATGAATCCTGCACTATTAAACTAACTCAATTTCTCCTGCTATATTGTAAGGTTCACCTCATCGTCGTTCACATTTCAGAGCGTGTACTTTATTGCACGAGACTTCACAACACGTCACGACACTCCAACTCAATTAATACTTTAAATAAAAATATATATTTAATAAAAAATGCCTTCAATACTAATTATTACAATACTCAAAATAACACCGATAATAATAAAATAATAACTATTTTAATAAGCCTAAGATACTAATTAATAAATTTTACAAAAACCCTTAGTTAATATGCTTTTAAATCTTTGTACACCTAAAGGAAAGGCTTTGATATGGCTGTCGCGGGCAACGTATTTCAGTCCGTTATTGTTCTATTTGTGAAGGAAATTTTTCCAACATCTATACTCTGTGATCTGAACTGAATTTTGTGCTTCTGATCCCCTCTACTAAAGAAGTGGGTTTATCGAGTCGGATGAAAATGTCTTTCCAATCTCGATAACCGGCATAGGTCTTGTACAGGGCACAGAGTCTTGCCTTAACCCTCCTGATTTCTAGAGACTCCCATTCTACTTTCTTCCTGTTGCTGCGGAAAGTAAATGTATATGCTCTTCTCTGTACTCTATTCAAATATTCTTTTTGTGATTTTCTATAAGGATCTTAATAAATCACCCCGTATTCCATTAATGAGCGAACTAGAGATAAGTAAGATAATTATATGGCTTTCGCAGTATTCTTTTTTACTATTCGAATAGTAAAATGCAAAGACCTCCAGGCTTTCCCTAGGTCAAAGTTCATCTGATTTCCTCCGCTAGAGTCCAGAGAGGAAAAGTAATAATATACCGCCCTCTAGACTTAACCAATTGAAACGTAACTTTGTGGACGTATAAACAACTGTATAGCCACTAATTGAAAGCGTTCTGAGGATTAATGTATCTTATATCTATAAGTCTCTTTTCCCTCATGGCTTCAATTGTCATTATTGTATGTAATGATTTAATGAATAATAATTTGCTGTCCCTGATCGGAAAAGAAAGAGATATAAAATACCGCCCCCCCCCTCCTAGACCTTTAACCAATTGGGAAACGTAAACTTTGGTGGGACCGTTATAAAAACCAACTGTTTAAATTTAAGGCCCCCTAAATTTGAAACACAGCGTTCTTTTTGAGGATTTAATGTTATCTTATATCTAATAAGTTTCCCTCTTTTCCCTCATGGCCTTTCAATTGTTTCATTATTGTATGTAATGATTTAATGAATAATAATTTGCTGTCCCTGATCGAATGGGCATTTTCCCTTCCAGAAAACGTGCTGATCGAGGTTTTAGACGCCTTCATCCACGGCTCTTTGTGACCCGTGAGAGGGAACCGGCCGAGGCAACTGGCCTGTTTCGTGCTCTGAGCGCCTTCGGACTGGTGATGGTGAGCGCTTTCATCACCGGCCGCTTCATGGGGCTTCCTGACGGTCCTTGAGGAGCCCTCGCAAGTGCAGACGTTAGAGGAGGTCGCCCACCAGGTCACCAAGGTGTAG